TGTCTTTAAATATTCGTTTTTTCGTATTTTTTTTTTAAATATATATATATATATATATTAAAAGATATACTATTTTTGATAAATTTGCTGATTCTGCTAAAAACCATTCCGGAATACTTAAATTTCCACAAAATTAAAACCTCATTTTAGATTTTTTAGATGTAAAAAATAAAAAAACTAAATATTTTAAAGAAATTACAAAATAACAATAAAAAAAAAAATCTAAAATTAAAAATTATGTATAAAAAATCAAAAAAACATAAATAATATAAACAAAAAATGATATTAAAAAGATTCTTTTGTATAAAGTCTCCCCCCATAAACACTCCCTTTTATTAACTTAAAAGGAAAGAATATGATAATTAAATAATCCAATAACTAGAAAAAGCTACCAATATTCATTATCTTTTAAAAATCTATACCCAAAACCAATAAAACCTATCAGAATATACATTTCATCATTTAATTTAAAGCTTCTAAATACACATAACGAAAACCCCTTCATCTGAAATAGTCCAAAATATAGTACAAATAACAAAATTATTAGATCATATTTAATCTTAAATTCAAAATTTATATACTCCTACATTAATTGAGATTTTAAAATTTTACCGAAAATTAAAAAAGAAATAAAATTCTAATTTTTAATCAGAAAATATCCTCAAAAAGTAAATTGAATAAATTCTTGTTAAAATCGAATAAGAAGAACTATAAAATGAAAATAATAAATAAAAATAGATCACACCCTTATAAATTGGATAAATTATTTTAACTATGACTTATTTTGAGATGAATACATAGAAATGGTTTATAAAATGCGAAAAAATGCTTAAAAATATTGAAATAAAGAATGATTTTTCTCCCCAGACTACTCTAAATATTTTAAAGGCAATCTATTTTTAAAAAAAAATTCCTGATTAGGAATTTATTTATAGTTTAATTTCGAAAACATTGACTTTGAAAAAATTGCATCAAAGCTTTTTTAAATTCGAGCATTTTTGTTTACTTTTTAAATTTATTTCTTATACAAAAATCCACTTTTCATATAAAACGCCTCCAGTATTTTTCGATTTAATTTCTTTGATTTAAAATAGTATTCCTTAGGAAAGTTTAATCACTAAAAATGATCTTTTGAATATTATTAAAGGATATTAAACTGCTCCATTTAATATTTCGGTTAAATTATTAGAGTTTTCCCAAGAAATGTATATTGAATAGTTTTTATAAGAATAAAATAAAAACGATGATTTTTTGACTGGATGTATAGATTTTTTAGAAGAAAATATAGTTTTGAGAGAAAGTTTATAGTTGAATGATAAATAGATGTATTTTTTGGAAAAAAGACTTACTGAAATTTTAGATATGAAATAACTATAAATAAGTCCTTTGTAAAAATAAAGACTTTTATAGATTCTAGTATAAACAGATAGTTTTAATGACAAAAAGAAAATTTGTCAATTAATTTTAAAAAACGTACTTACGGAAAAAAATATAGGCTTTAATTTTAATTTGAATTCTGAAATAATTATAAATCTAATAAAATTAGAATAATAGATAGATTTTTTTTTAGAAAAAGAAAGTTTTTTATAATATATAGAATAATTTTTTATATTAAAATATAATAATTAATTTCCTTTATTTTCTTTTTAGAAAAAATTGAAAGTTTTATTAATTTTGGATTTTATGGAAAAAAATATATAAAATTAATCAAAAAAAGCATTTACTTAATAAACTATATAGGAGATACTTGAAAATCTAAAAAATTATATAAAATAAATGAAAGAAGATCATTTTTTACATTTCATTTCTCATTTTAATGATAAATATACATAAAATAAAAACTTAATAATTTAAAATATTACTTAAGAAATATTCCTTAAATTAGAAAATAATTCCTTTTTTGATAATTTAAATCCTAATTTTTAATCTTATATTATTTTAAATGTTTCTAATTGGAATTTGTTTTCTAAAAAAGGCATTCGTTTTTCCCTTTAAAAATTAAATATTCACTAAAAAAATCTACATACTTGGCTTTTATCTAAATATTTTCAAGATCTAAACAAAGTTTATACAAAAATGCTTATATTAACCAACTCTTAGAGCCAAAATCCTTACTTTTAACTTCCAAAGTACATTTCTTGTATTGTTTCTTCACCTATATAAGCTCTTTTGAACGCTAAAGGGACTCTAATGTATGAAATAATTTCTCTTTTGTCAAATATAGAGTTTACTTAGGAAAATTTTCCATCATAAAAGGCATTTTTGAACATTGATTTGATATTTAAAATTTCGAAATTGGCCGTTTAAGGTTATGAAAAAGAATAAATAAATCTTTTTGTGAAAAAAGCTTTAATTTTTTACATTTAGGTGAATAAGAAAGTCCTTTTTTCAAATTAAAATGATTTATTTTTGTACCAAAAATTATAAATAGGGGAATTTTTGGCTTTATAAGGTGAAAATAGTGACTAAGTTATGAATTTTTAGAAAAACATAATAAATGAAGTTTAAAAAAAATTACTAGACTAATAATAGTTTTCATTAAGTTTTTTAATTAAATATTCCAAAATTATCATTTAAATGAAACTTTTTTCTTAATACGAAGAACTTTCGGACCTTTTATTTTAGAAAATGTAAACTGAAGTCAATTAAGTTGGCAATTTTAATTAAATTTGTGATTGTTTAGTCATTTTTTTTAACTTTTTATAACATGTAGAAGCTATAAATGTCCAATTTATAATCGCTTAGTTATAAAAAGTACTCAGAGTGTGCCCAATTTAGAGTTTTTTACCATATTTAGTTGAAATTTAGAAATGTTTTACAAATATAGGAGAGAAAAAAAAGGTTTAGGAAGAGTAAAAAGCATCTTGGATGGATATTTAGAGATAGGTTTTATAGGAAATTGAATTTTTTTATATATAGAATTAACATAGGAGGAAATAAAATTACGTAATTTGTTGTTATTTTTAATTTTTTATGGAATTTTCAGTGAAAAATTTGCATGTTTTTAATGTTTTATTGTAAGATATTCTTAATTCCTTTTAGAAAATAAAAATATAGGATATTATTTTATATTTAAAATATTTTTAATAAATAAAATTATATCACTTTTAAATTTTGATGCTTTTTTAGAATTTTTTTATTTAAAATTTTTAGTTTTTTAAAGGAAATGATATTTTTAAAGTACTTTTTTCTTTTTCAAAATTAGGGTTTGTTTTTTAAAGTAATAATAGTAATTTGTGGGAATACATATTTTTAAATTTAAATTAAAAAAATTAAATTTCTTTTAATAATAATAAGGATAATAACATTTCATTAGATAAAAATAATTTTTAATACGAAATTTTATAAAAAGTTTGTTGGTCAATAATTGTTTAAAATAATTATGAATAATACAAGAATTAATTTGAGATTATATATAAATATTTTATAGAATAGGTTTTATTAGATAATAGTCTTTATAATTAAAAATAAAATTACTAGAATAATTAAATATGTAAAAATTTGATTAGTTTTGGAATTATTAACGGCTTATTTTAAATTTAGAAAGGATCAAATGATGAAAAATTATTTAAAAAAATTTTTGAATAAAAAGAAATATTGTAATGTTAAGATATTAATTAAAATAATAATAATAATAATAATAATAATAATAATAATAATAATAATAATAATAATAATTAATAATTATTGTTTTGAACTAAATATATGGTGATGATAATGTTATTTAAAATTATTTTTTTGACGATTAATATTTAATATGTGATTTTTATATACCAAAATAGAATATAATTATTTTATTGGAATAAGGAATTTTTGTCAATAATAATTATTAAACTCTAAGTGGTTTTGGTTTATTTAGAAAATATTTGTTTTAAATATTTATTAAAAAATAAATAATACATTTTAATGTTTGGAAATTTTAATAAAATTAATTTGATTATTTAAAAAAAATAGGGTTAAACATTAAGAAAAATTAATGAATTAATTTTTTTTTTTTTTAAATTAAAAGATCATCGTTATATAATTATAATAAATTAATTAATAAAATATATGTTTATATATATTATTAATGTAAATATAAATTACTTTTTTTTTTAATAATTTATTTTTATTATATTAATTTTTATTTTAAAATTATAAACGAGAAAATCATTTTTTTTTTTTACAATAATTATATGTATTTTTTATATATATTTTTTTTTAAAATTTATATTTAATAATGCATATTATTTTTTATTAATTTTTTTTTAATTAATTATCTATAATTTTTATTAATAACACAATTATAAATAATTAAAGGGAATATATTTGGTTTATAGTAATTTCTTAAATTGATTTTATTAAATTTAATTTAAAAACATATAATAATTTATTTAAAATATATATATATATATATTTTTTAAATATTTAAAAAAATATAAAATAATTTATAATAATAATAATAAATATATATTTTTAATTATTATTATTGTCTATTTTTTTATATAATGATTTTTTTTTTAATTTGTTTATTTATTTTTAAAGAATTTATAAGAATATTTTATATATTTTTTATAATTATTAATTTTTAAATATATATTGAATAAATAATTAAAAGAAAATATCATTAAAAAACAATGTTAAAAATATATTTTTTAATATTAGTAATTTTTGCTTTATTTTTAGTTGTTACTAAAACATAAGAATAACTTAATATCTAAAATTAAGAACAAAACAATAATGAATCTGAATTGAAAGAAAAAAAAGTCGAATAAATTAAAGCTTAAAAATTAGAAAAATAATCTAAAGAATACAAAGAAGAAAAAAAACTTAAAGACGATAAATAACGTAAATAAGAAAATCAATAAAAAGAAGAAAAACCTAAATAACCAAAAGAATAAAAATAATCAAAAGACGAAAAACAAGCTAAAGAATAGAAATAATCTAATGAATAAAAATAAACTAAAGATTAAAAGGATGCTGATGAATAAAAATAATAAAAAAAAGAGAAATATATCAAGAATGAAAAATAACCTAAAGAAGAAAAATAACCTAAAGAAGAAAAATAACTTAAAGAAGAAAAATAAGATAAAAAATAACCTAAAAATGAAAAATAAGAATAACAAAAATCTAAAGAAGAAAAGCATAAATAAGAAAAATAAAAAGATTAGAAATCTTAAAAATAAAAATAAAAAAAACCCAAAAAAGATCTTTGATAATTTTTTATTCAATAGTTAAAATAAAAAAAAAAAAATTAAAAAAATATTAATAATTATATTATAAATTTAAATAAATATATATATTTATTCTATGATTGTTTTATAACGAAATTTAATTAATTTTTTTTTTTTTTAATAATAAACCAAATTTATTATAATATACTTTTTTTTAACTCTAGCTAGCTTTTAATTTTTTTTTTTTCTAACTTAGATATTTTCATTTGTGTTTAAAAAAAAAATTAGGTCTTTTTTTCAATCAATTAAAGCTTTTTATATAATTTTCTGATAACAAAATATTTAAAATTAAGTCGTTTTGTGTTTCATTTCGAAAGGTAAGGGTAAGACTTGGAAATTAATCAATTAGTTTACAGATTAAGTATATAATAATTCATTTTGAGTAGTAGAATGAATGCAATTTAGATAAATATTTATTTTTATCATTAACATATTTTATTCTTTTTAATATTATTTTAATATAAATTATTTTTAATTTTATTATAATTATATTTGATAAACTTTTATTTATATTAATTATTATATTTAAAAAAAAAATATTCTCTTTTTTATATTTACATTATTAACACGAACACGAATGTATTTTGTTTGCTTTATATTCTTCATAATAAATCTTCACTTAGGTATAATTTGTTTATTCCTTAAAAACTTTCAAGGCATAAAAAATTCCATATACTTTTTTTTGTTTTTATTTATTCCTATATTTAAAAAAAAAAAAGGTTTAAAATTTATATCTTTTCTATCTGAACTTATTTTAAAAATTTAAAACTGTATATCAAAAAAATAAAAAAAAGGCCAAATTCATTTTCATCTTTTTTTTTTTCGATTCTTTCTATTAATTAAGTTTTTTAAAGTTATTTGCTTTTTTTATTATTAATTAATTATTTCTTTTCTAAGTTATATGAATATTCTGAAACATAATGTTTTTATTTCATATATATTAATTATTACTGTATGTTCTTAAATTGAAATATTTATTATAAATTACATTGCGCTTAATTTTATATGACTTTCTATATTATAAAAAGTAATAGTTAGACATAATTTATATTATTAATTTTTAATATTTATATAAAAAAATGATTTGCACAATTATAATATTATATTATTTTTAATTGAATTTAATTAATTTTTTTTGATAGTTTTCTATTTATATTTTTTGATAGTTTTCGATTTATTATTATTTTTTTAAAATTTTTTTTATTAATTATAAATATATTTAATTAATAATTATTTTCACTTTTATTTGAGTTCTTCCATAATATTTTTTATATATATATATTTTTTCAGTATTACTAGATTACTTTAATATGTTTAAATTAGTTAATATTAAATATTTTTAAAAAAATAAAGATGTTTTTAACTATTTTTCATATTTTTTCTAATATAAAACTGAAATATCAAATAAATTTTTTTAATGTTAATATATATATACAAAAAAATTTTAATTAATTTTTATTATATGTTATAAATTTAAAATAAACAAGTATAATATTAATTGTTAAAAATTAATAATTTAAAAAATCATATTCAATCTAAAAGTTTTATAAATATAAAACATAAAACATTGATTAAATTAAATAATTTAGTAAATGATTATTTTAATAATTAACATATTTCTATAAGTTATATTCATTAATTAAAAATATAGTTATTCAATATATTTAATAATTTTTATTTTATTTTTTTAATTAAAATTATAATAAAATTACCTTAATTTTTTTTCTTTTAAAATAAGAATGTATAAAGATTAATAAAATAATGAATAATCATCATAAATAAAAAAAAGGAAAAAAAAAAAAATTAAAAAATATTAGAAATAAAAAAAATAAAAAATATGAATTTTTATTTATAATAAAAAAAAAATATTCTATTCTATAAATGATAAAAAAATACTATATATAATCATCATTTCATTTTTTGATTCTATCAACGAGTTCATCTATCTTATTTTTAACTTCAGTCATAGAAATTCTCTTTTCTTCTTCAACAGTAAGCATTTTTTGAAGTAATTCTTTAAGATCATTACTAATTTTAACAAAAGCCGGATATTGAATATTTCCTTATTAAATTTTTTAAGCTAAAGATTCTATACTATTTTTATCTTAAAAAGGCACCATTCCATATAGAGTTTCATAATACATAACACCTAATGACCATACATCACATTTAATAGAATAATCTTATCCGAGAATTATTTAAGGAGACATATAATAAGGGGTTCCTACTGAAGTTCCTGAATTAGCAGTATCTCTCATATCATAATTAATAGCTTTTGAGAATCCGAAATCTGCAATTTTCGCTATTCCATTATGAATCAGTATATTTTCTGGTTTTAAATCTCTATGGAAAATTGCTTTTTAGTACAAATATTGACATCCATTGGCTATTTATTAGGATATTATTAGTGATTCTTCCTCACTTAATCTAGTTTTTTCTTTCAAACACTTTTATAAATCTTTTCCATTACAATATTCCAAAAAAAAATATATATTATTGTATGTTTCTGAAAAATCTATAAATTGAACTATGTTTGGATGATTTAGTTTTTTCCATACTTAAACTTCATTCTTTAAGGAGTCTATTATATATTTTTTACGTGATTCTGGTTCTTTACTTTTGCGTAATTTTTCCATTAAAGAATCTTTAGATATCAATTTACAAGCTAATATTTAGTTTTCGTTCTCTTTTAATGTCGCTAGGTAAGTTTCCGCAAAGTTTCCTCTACCTAAAACATGATTTTTTATGTAATATTTCTAATCAACTAATTTATAATTTGATATTTTGCTTACATCTAATTTATCTTATTCTATTTCCATTTTTTTTGTTTTTTTTGTTTTGTTTTTTTGTTTTGTTTTTTTTTTTTTAATTTGTGTATATTATTATTTATTTTTTGTTTATGCTTTATTATTTGTTAATATTTTTTTTTATTTTTTATTTACAAGGAGAATTATTATAAAATATATTTTTTATATTTTATGGATTTTTTAAAATAATAAAATAAATAATAAATATGAATATAAATACATTTTTATTTTATAATATTTAATTTTTCTTCTTCTTTTTTTCTATTTTATTTTTTTAGAAATTATTTTAAATTTTTCAGCCTTTATAAATAATTAATGACTTTACTTATCTTTTTATTGATCTTCTCATTAATCTGTATTAACTAAAAAAAAAAAAAAAACACGAGTGTTAAAATTAAAGTATTAACATTTTTATTTTATACTCGCTCATAATATGAATTTATAATAAATTTTTCATATATTATAGTTAAGCCCCAAATTTAGTATATAACGATCTTTAAAATTAATTTCCTCTAATATATAATTGAAAGAAATATAATATTTTAAATTTTATTAAAGTTTATTAATTTAATTTACTAAATAAATATTTCTAATTTTCTTAGTTATTTTAGTTATCTAAGCTACTTTCCTAATTATATTACTTATTATTGAGATATAAAGTTAAATCTTAATTAAATTAAGGATTTAATTTATTTATTTTAAATAATATTATTTTAATACCTTAAATCTAAATATAAAAACTTTAAATTTTAAAAATGTATTAAATTAATTCCCATTTATTATATTTAATTTTAATTTTTATAGTTCATATATAAAATTAAAGATTTTATATTAGGATTTGCAGAAATATCACTCAAAATTTCATTTTCTGCATTTAAATAATTATTCTATATATTAAACCCAAATGTATTAATATTTTAATTATTTATGAAAGATTTTCCAATATTTTATTTAGTAATTTAGTTATTTCTTGTTTATATTTAATTATACATTTAAGTATTAAAATATGATTCATTTATTTAAAATATTTAATATTTTACCTTAAATCTAAACGAATTTCTTACAAGTTTATTAGTTTTAAAAATAATTATTACAAAGAGGTTGCACCATCATTACCAATTTAATTGTTTCTAAATAAAAGACATAAGTCAAATAATAATTATATAAAAATATATTTCAAGCAAATAATTAAAATATAAATAAATATTAATAATCAATTACTCAAGAATTAAATCAAGGTTTATTAAGTTTTCCATTTCCTATAAATATTTAGATATTATAATCATACCTTAACTTGTTATTTTATTACGACTTTTATTAAATTTTTTTGTAAAAAAAATCATATAAAGAATAATTAACCCCATATTTAAATGCAAATATTATATATTATCATAATTTTTAAATTAAAGTTTTATGTTATTCAATTTATTGTAACTTTTATAAATATTAACTATATTTATTATTGTTTATTTAGAAGTTGTATTTACTATAATTCTATATAAATAAATTTAATATTTTAAAGCACTTTAAATCCATTTTGTATTCCTTACATGTCCTCACTTTAAATATTTTAATTGCTTTATTTAATTATTAGTTTCTTTTAATTTATTATGGAAAAAAAAAAATACTTTAATAATAATGTTAAACTTTATAGATTTATATTTTATTAAAATAAACTTCCGATTAATTATGATCCTGATTATCCTATTTTTTCATTACTAAATATTTATAAATTATAAAAAATTAAAAATATAATTAGAACTTAATTTAAATTGTCAAATCATTCAATTATATATCTTTTGGTGATTAATAAATTTAATACAAAAAATTTATTTTATACATATTTTTGATTTAAAAAATAATTATAAGTTTTATAATAAATATACAATTTTATTATCTAAAAATATATATATAAAAAAATTGTTTAAATAATATATAATAAATTCCTTTTAATTTAAAAAAAAAAAATATTTTCATTATTTCTTTTTATATTTTAATATATAAAATAAATATTGAATTTATATGATGTTTATAATTAAACGTACTAAAAAAAATATTATAAATATTTATTAAAATATTAAGAAAAAATAATAAAAAATGCATTAATATATAAATATAATTATATATATAAATATATTTATAGATAATTTTTTTTTAAGATTTTATAAAAAATTTATTCTAATATAGAAAATTTTTTTCATTCTTATTTTTAAATATATTCTTATTCATTTTATTGCATTTATTATTCATTTTAAAAATTTTATACAATATTTTAACTTATCTATTCACTATTAGAATTATTAATTGATGTATTTTTTTAATCACATAATTAAATTTATTTATTATTATCAGAATCAATATTTATTTTTATTTCATCGTATTTATTTTCATTTTATAATTCTTAGTTTACACCTAATTAAATTAATTATAATGATTTTCTTCTGATTATATTTTATTCATTTTAAACTTCTTAATAATTACTATAAATTAAATAAATAAAAATATTTATTTTTAATTATTAATACTTTTAATTATTTCCACTTTCCTAATTTTATTTTACTTCAATATTAATATTTAATGACAAATTCATATCGTCAACATTTCTTTATTTTTAATTAGAAATAAAATTAATTAATGAATGTATATAAATTACCCCAAAAGAAATTTTTATAAGTATTTTTGATCTACCAATGCAAAAAATTCTTTAACTTTATTCCAAAAACCTTAGTATTAATGATTATGATCTGAAACTTATAAATTATCTTTTTATTCTTCTAAATTATAAAAACTTTTATTTAATAAAATAAATATATAAATATAAATATATATATAAATATATAAATATATATATATATATATACATATATATATATTTGTATGTATTTATAATTACCTTTATTAAATTTTGCATTTTTTAGCTATATTTTCTAAAATTGATGCATGTATAAATATCTAAAATAATAAAAATATTATAAAATTTTGTTTTTATTTATATAAATTAAATTTAACGTTTATAACTGAATACAATAAAGTTATTGTTAACATAATTCTACCTAAATTATTTTAAGTAAATTATTCTCTACTTTTCATTGAAAGAGCATAAGCCATAGCACCTCTAAATCCAGAAAACCATAAAATAAATCTAAAATTTTTATTAACTATATTTGTTGTTCTATACTTATTTAAAAAATAAGAAACTGTTTCCACATTGATATATCTTGCTAAATTTATTATTAAAAAAGCGCAAACAAACAAACTTACTCCCATTTCCTTCCAAGCCAAATCAAAGCAAACAAATCCAACCCCAATAAAAATAAAAACCAAGTTTTCAAATGTATATGCTAGTATATTATACAATCTTTTGTTGACTTTTTGATTATTTTCAGTAACATTAGGAAGTGCATATCTAACCATAGCAATTCCACAAAAAACAATGCTCACAATTCCTGATAATTATAAACCCTAATTTTTATATAACTATTAATTTTTTTTTATAATATAAATACTTCTGCGACTAAATAACTTACCCAAGGTATAATTGTTAAAATAGTCATTTCTGTGTTATTTTAAGTTTCTTCGTTTTATTTATCTTTATATTTTAATCTCTTTTATTTTAAAAATATAAAAGAAAAATGTATATATATAAAAAAATACATATGCACTTAATAATCCTATAACAAATCCAGTAACCATTGAGCCAAAAAATACATAAAGAAAATCATATAAAGCTTTCCAAATTGTATCATATCCTCCTTGTTCTTCTTTTAATTAAAGTGTAATACTTTTTATTATTTAAATAAAATTTTTAAATAAAAGTAATGCAAATAAAGATTTTATTTATTACTTATAAACTATAATAGATACAGCATCATTTAAAATAGATTCTCCAAAAATTAAAGCATATAAATTTTTATCGCAATTCATTTATTTAAAAATCGACATAACAGCAACTGGATCAGTTGCACTTATTAAAGCACCAAAAGCAAAACTTCCATTTAATCCTAAGTTCTATATTTATAAAAAAAATATATATATATAAAATAATTATTAAATATTAATATATATATATAATATATATATATATTTATATATATATATATAATATATATACATGAATTTTATAAAAAAAAAAATTACTGTTGCTACTCCAATCCAACCTATAAAATATATTAATGCTGAAGTAGTAAGTATTGAAATAGCAGTTCCTATAACTGAATAAACTATAATACTTCCAAGATGCTTAAAAAAATATTTCTATTTTATAAAAATAAATATAATAAATTAATTTTATTTTATATTTTTTGATTATTAATTTATAAGTAAGTTTTATATTATATGATTTTACCCTTTACATATTTATTGCTGATTCATATAATATTGGTGGTAATAATACTATTAAAAAAAATTCTGAAAAACCTTATTAAATAATTCCTACAATATCTATAATTTCTGTTAAATTTAGAAGAACCCCTGATACAATACCTATAAAAATAAGATTTTAAAATATATTTTAATTTTTTTTTATTTATATGTTAATAAATATATATTATTGATTATTATATATATTTCAAAATATTAAAAAAATCAAATCTTTAACCTAATAATGTTGTTAATGTTGAAGGTTAAAATATTTATAAAATTGGATATTTTTCTTTATATTAATTAAATCTATGCAAAATAAGTTCATTTGTAACTAATACAAATAACATAAATAAAATAGATGCTGATATGTCTCTTGTATCATCTTACTATTTAATTTTTTGTCAAATTTGGTTTATATTTTTTTTATTTTTATTTTAAGTTATAAAATACAGCTTTCTAATTAATGCTTACTTAATTCATTTTATTAATATTTTTTTTAATAATTATTTTTTGATTAAATAATAAAAAATCATTAATAATTAAGATCAATAAATTAATTATATTATAAATAATGATAAAGAAAATACAAAAAAATATAAAAATAAAAAGAATGACATTAAAAAAATGAATATATATAAATAAAAAAAAATATTTATAAAAATTACAAATTTATTTTATATAAATTATACGAATTCTAATGTAATTAATTTAAATATTTTATTAATAGAAAATAATAGAAAAATTTATATAAAAAGTATATACATATAATAATTAAATTAATATTTATTAAGTTAAATATAAATAATATATATAAAAAAAATTAAAAATTGTCATAATAATTAAACACTAAGCTATTATAAAAGAAAGAAAAATATACATAAGACCAATTAAAAAAGCTTTCAGAAGGATAATTATAAAGAATTTAATAAATAAACAATATCTTATAAGAAAATAGTTAATAAAAAAATTATTTAAGTCAAAATCAATATATATAGCAAAAAGAAATAATGCAATAAGAAATAAAATAACTATAATCATATATATAATAATTAGAATTAAAGCCTGATTAACAAAATAATAATTTAATTATAGAACTTAAATAATAAGCATAAAAAGAAACATTTAAATTTGGTTAAAATTTGAAAAATTTTAGTTATTAAAGTGAAAATAAATAATAGAATATTAAAGAAAACACATAGAGTTTATAATAAAAATAAATAGTAGCTCCTAATTTATTAGATTTAGAATAATAACTTATAGAGGAAAGATAATAAGATATAAATTATATTTAAAAAAATGCTATAATAATAAATAGATTAATGAACAATATGGGTTAAATGGTAATTGAATAAGGTCAAAATTTAGAAATAATAGAAGAAAATACGAAAAATACACAAAAAAATGTTACTTATGCTAATAAATAATTGATTTCAGCAAATTTAGCATAAAAAATAGAAAAAAAGAGATAACTAATTTTTTCAATATTAATATTAATTTTAATAAGTTTTATATTAATTGTATATTTATTTAATTGATTAAATATAAAATAAAAATTATTTTCTCTATATATTCATTTAAAATTAATGATAAATTTAGATTATTAATAAAATATTATAATTATAATATAAATATGCTAATAATTTATATATTAAAATATATATAATTTTTAAAAATAATATATATATTTATTTTAATTAATATATATATATATATATATATATATATATATATATATATATATATATATATATATATATAATTCTTTAATCATTTATATTAATTTATTTTAAATCTATCTTTATTAAAATAACAATTTGCAATTTTTTTTTTATTTTTAAAAAAAAATCATTTAAAATAATTTTCAATAGTATTATAATTTTAAATATTTAAAAAATATTCATTTATTAATACATTATTTATTTTTAAATAAATTTTTAAATTATATAATAGTGAAAAATTTAATGTAATTTGTAAATTTTTTATTTATTTTTAAAACTTTTTAAATTCAATCATATATATTTTACAAAATTACATAAAATAAAATACCTATAAAATAACATATAACTTAACTACAATTAATTTTTTTTTAATTTTTCATTCTTATTATATTACATAAATTTTATTTTTAGCTTTTAATATTTTATGTTTATTATTATTTGGGTTATTTAGAAAATTACTCGGAGCAACAATTTTCATTCCTTATGTTTTTTATTTTTTATAACTTCTGATTCGCAACTACTCTATGTATTATTTAGATTATTATATTTTTCGACAGAATCTTATCTTTGTTTATTATATTATTTATATTATCCAACTAAGCTTGCGTAAAAATTATTTTTTTCTTTTAAAGCTTCTATACTTTAATTATATTTCAAGGGAGCTTCAGAATCCTATTAAAATACATATTTATCAATTGATGTTTTTAATAGTCTTTAAGCTTCTCCTTATAAATATTTTATATCTTTATTATATGTATATTTTCTTCTTCTTTTTTTTTAAATAATAAAAAAAATATATTATTTAGTTTTTACTATATTTTTTCATTAGCAGATTTAGAAATAAAATTATTATTTAATATTTTTTCTTTTATAGGAATATTATAAGTTTATTTAAATAAAGATGATTATAATAATTTATTTTCTAAAGGAAGTTTTTGTTTTTAATCATTTATTTTTTTCAAAGATTGACTTTTTCTGTTTAATTATACTTTATCACTTAAATTTTCTAATTTAAAAATATTATTTAATAAATTAAAAATAATTTATTTAAAAAATACTTTAAGATTTTTCTTGTTAATTTTTTTTTTAATTTCTTATTTTTTATGATCTTATTACTTTTTAGATTAAATAAATTTTCTTTTAATCTCCTCAAAATCAGAATTAGTTAAAGGCAAATTATTATTAAAATCTTCAACTTTAGGGATATAATTATAAAATTATTTAATCGGTATTATATCTTATTCTGCAGTTCCACATTTCTTTATAATTTCATTTTTTTTATTTTAAATATCGTCCAGTTATTTTTCCTCATAAATTTTATTTTTTAAATCCTGAATTGGATCCTATACATATTTAATCTGTCTTATATATGTATAAAGTTCTTTTTTTTACTACTCTTTTATTTAATCTTTTGTAAGTTCATGTTTTGGGTACAAAGTTTCATATTTTATCTCTTTAATTTTTTCTTTAGTATTATTTTAAAAGTATTAGGTTTTCAAGTATTTTTTTTAAATTTATTCCTTTTATTTTACTGATAATTTATTACTGTTTTCTTAATCTAATCTATTTATTCCATCTAATTAATTGAAAACTTCATCTGTGTCTTTTAATTTATGCTAAACCCAATCAAAGGGAAAATCCCAGAAATTTTTATTAGGATTTCCTAAACATATTCTTGCAAAACATTTTCCTTGTATATCCCAAATTTTTATTTGTTAATCTAATGAACATGAAGCATATAATATTGGATTATTTATTTTTAAAATAAAATTAATTTAATTTATATGAGCCTCCCATCTTTTTATTAAAACAGAATTATAACAATGCACTATATTTGGAAATTTTTCGTTTTTTCTTTCGGGAGTTTACAGTATAAAATCAACAGCTTTTTGACCATTTATTAGGTCTTTTCGTTTTTTTAATTTGAATATTATTTTCTTTTTTTCAACTTCTTTTAAACCTTTTTATTAAAAATATTCACTAAAGTTCCATGTTTGCATTCTTCCTTTATGATCACCTAATATTAATGAATATATATATATATATGTTAATTAAAATATATATACAAACCTATAATTAGATAAATTCTCTTTTTATTTTCATAAATAGTATTTTTATACTAATTGTAAGCTTCCTAATAATCTTAGAAGCTAAGATTTTATTTCCTAATCGTTGTATTTTATTATTCATAATTATTTTAAATATTGGACGAGTCTTTATTTCTATCCTTTTAATCATTTATTACAGGATTAAATTCTTATTTTTAATGAGGAGCAATATCATCTTCTATTATTTCAAAATCTACTCCTTTCTAAACGTTACTTTCACAGATTATATAAGAAATTCCAACTGGAATATAATTGTCTTTGGAAAAATAACTATTAACAAATCTTCCTATTTGTTTTAATAAATATAATAGTCAGTAAATATTAAAATATTTATATTTTACCTATACAAGCATATTTAAAGTCCGCTGGGCATTTTTTTAAACCCCATAAATAAACTATACCAGAACTTCCTGAACTAAAAAGGACAGGAAAATCATCAGCAAAAATAAGAGAATTAACTTCTCCTTTTTCTTTACAAATAAATATAGTTTCCAATAATCCTGTTTAGAATTCCCATACTGCTATCATTCCATTAGCAGATCCACTCGTAATTAAAGAATGCTTATCTGAATAAGCTAAGGAAGTTATTTCACTATCTCTATGTCCTCCTTTTAAAATCTATATTTTTTTTTTATTTATTTTTGTTAAATATTATTTTTTTACTCTTATTAAAACTGATTCACTAGCATCTTCTTCATCATATATTCTAATAGTAGAGTCGAAAAAAGAGGCAATAAGTAATTTTTCTTCCATTAAAAATATTATTTATGATATTTAATTATTTTCTTCCTTTTTTGGGATTTCTGAGGTTTTCTTTTTTGTAAATTCTTAGCTCTCTGTTTCATCTTTTTTATTCACATTTTTCAAAAATGAACCATTTTTCATATTATATTATCTTATTAATCCTAAATTATCAGCTACAAAAAACTTCCTTTGTCTAGCTCCTGAAACAAACATAGATAAATCAACTTAAAAATTATCATCATATAATTCATTAAACACTTTTTATAATTTTCCATTCATAGCATTATATATTCTCATATCATTTCTTAATTAAAATATTAAAAAATATATTTTTTTAATAAATTACTTTGTTAAAATTGCGAAAGTTTTAAAATAATAATTAAAATCTACACAAATAGGATATTATTCATTTGAAATATTATTTTTTAATCCAGAAAATTATAAATTTTCAAAATAAATTAATCTTTTTCCTGTTAATATAAACATATCTTTTTGATCAAAAACAACACAAATATCATAAATTGTAGAGAATTATCTAAATTAAAATAAAAAATAATATAAAAAAAAAAATACCCTTCCAAATTAATAATTTAAATAGACTTTGAAGTTCTAATATCCCAAATTCTTACATTACATTTTTCATCAATAGAAATTATATTTGGTGATTTTTCCATAAACTTACAATTTTAAACTAAATGACTATGTCCTTCTAATTTTCCAATAAATGGTCTTGTAATAGATAATTCAGGGCACCAAATATTTATATGATTTTAAAATCCATAACTCAACAAATTAGATCCATAAAAACTTGAATAGGACAAACCTAAAACTCCTCTAAAAGTCTAGTTAGGATCTCTTAATTCCGTTACTAAAATTGGAGGATGTGATGAATCTGTTAAATCCCATAATTTTATTTTTCCATCAAGGGAAGATGAAGCGATTAGGCGAGGCGAATTTAATTCTTCTATTTTTGTTATCATTTTTAAATGAGCAAGCATTAATCTTTCTTATTTTATTTTAGTTTAGTCAGGATATTAATCGAAATTCCAAGTTCTAATGTTATAGTCAGCTCCTGCAGATATCCATAGTTTTTAGATTGGCAAATACCATATACCTGTTTGTAAAACATCTACTACGAAATTTTTTATTGGTTTTGTTGTTAAATTATTTTCCCATAAAAAAAACTAACGATTAGAAGTGATTATAACTATCTTTTTTTGAGAAGATAAAAATAAAATAAATATATTTTGTTATTTTATTTTATTTATATATATTTTATTAATTTTTTATTTTTTTTTAATGAATATTTTTATATTTATTTACTTCATTTTATAATAATTTTTATTATCTTTTTTATCCTTTTTATTTATATTATTTTTTTTATTTACTGTATTTAAACTCTCAGCAATTGTAAAATCCAAAATAAAAGGCCTTTATTAATCTTCGAAATTAGGTTAAAGTTGAATTTTCTTTTATTAAATTTCGACTTCTTTACAATCGGTTGTATAAAATTTTATTTTACTTGAATTTTACTCTAGAGTTAAAATAGCATCTAAATGGGGAGAATAAATTGCTTTTATAATTAATCCTAAATGATTTGAATTATCTTTATAGTTACATTCTTAATATTTTTTTGTTTTTTTTGAATATGCTCTATCTATTATTTCCTTTTCAGTTAAATCTCTTTCTTTTTCAAATCTAGCTATATTAAATATTTTTTTTTTTTTTTAATTTTATTTTCTATTTACCTTCTAAAGTATTTTAGTCTTTTTCACCTATCACTGCATCTATTATATATTATGTAAATTCACTCCATTCCATTTGCTAATCTCCATTTATATCTATGTCTTCAAATAATTTAATTAAACCATTAATTAATTCGTATTTTTCTTCTTCGGAATGCATAATTGCACATTTCATTAACCATACAAAATTTGTTAATTCTATTCCACCTGGGTATTCATTAAATTCATCTTCTAATTCTGCTAATTTATCATTATCTAATAACATCATTAAACTTTTTTTATTTATATTTTTAATTATTTAATTTAAGTTTAAAAATTCACGTTTCTGCTGTAAATTTATTCTTTTCATTCATTAATAAATGCTTATTTTATTGTAAATAATTTTTAATATCTTCTAATGTCACTTTTATATCTTGCTTAGTTACTTATTATTATCTTTGATGAGCTTTTTTTTATAATTATTACATTTTGTTTTATTCTATTTTTTAATTTAGTTTTTATAAATATAACGAATTTTATTTAAATTTATAATTAAAAATATACTTTCTTTTTATTTTAAAAATAGTTTAATGAAAAAAAAAAAAAAAATGCACTTTTAATATAAATTTAATTTTTTTTTTTTTTTTTTTCCATAAAAATGTAAATTTTAATTATAAATAGTTTTTAAATTTTAATTATATTAATTTTAGATTTTTTTTTTTTTTTTTTTAATTTTTGAAATATTAAACTTAATAATACAAAATAGTTAGAAACTTTCATAAATTTTATTTATTTTAATTAAATTTTAATTTTTAAATAACTTTTATTATAAATATCAATATTTAAGAATTTTCATTAGACATTTTTTTTTTTATCTTGTTAATATTTAACTTTTACAACACAACTCTAAATAGAAATAAAAAAGTTATATACAAAATAATTTAAAATATAATTATTACTAGCTATAAATTGATTTAGAGTATTGTCAAATTCCTACTATTTTAATATTTAATTTAATTCTATCTATGCAATATTTAAATATTATATAAGTGAATAGAAATCATTATGTGTAAAACTATCACTATAGTTTTATTATATAATTTTTAGATTCTCAGAATCTTTATTTTATTTTAGATAAAATAATATTTTTTATAAAAATATATTATAGTATATAAAATTAATCTACAAATAATAGAATCTTTTGAATTATTCACTTTATTCGAAATAATTTATTAAAATATTTTTTAATTATCTTATTACCATTAATCATTATCTATTTTTTTGTTAATATGAATATAGTAAATTATATTATAAAATAAAATTTTAAATTACTTATTAAATTAAACTAAGGTATAGTTGCTTAAAATCTATCACCGACAGAAATATATTTTTTTTAATTATCTCCATTCTAATAGGCAATTAAATTTTTTTATTTTTTTTATTTCTCACTTTAAAATAATTTTTTTTTTTTTTTTTAATTATTTTAATTAAAGATAATACTTATTTTGTATAATTATTTATGAATTAATCTTTAATTAAATAAATAAATTAATATTTAGAAATATATATATTTTACTGTTTTATCATTATTTTATATTAATGAATCTTATTAATTACATATTTAATTATTTTAAAGTTTACATTTTTTTTGAATATTTGTAAAATCAAATATTCCATTATTCGGAAAAGATGTATTTTATTATTTTTCAATTTATTATTAGTTTTAAACTTATTAAATATTGTAATTATCTTATTTTGTTTATTCAAATTTATTATTTTATCTTTTTATCTTTTATTATTTATTTTAATTCAAAATTTATTTTTATAAGTTTAAGAAATTTTAATTAGTTTCCAAACTTTTAGATTTATATATAAGTTCGTCATCTTTTTCAGATATTTAATTGCAATTTTATTATATATAATTTATTTAAGCGTTTTTTTATTTTAATTAATTAGTCTTTGATTTTTTAATTTTTTTTGTTTATTCAAAAGAATATCTATCTCTTACATTGGACTTTCGTCATCAATTATTATAATGTCTATTTCTTTTTTTAATTATTTTTCTATTAATCTGATCTTAAAAAATAATTATATAATATTTTATATAATTGTATATTTTTTTAATTAAAATAACTATATAATGAAATGTGAATAACATAAAAATATTAGTATTATTTTTTATATATTTATTATATGTTAATATATTTTCCCATATTTTTTTTTATAAATGTAATTCATTAGTTTTTTAAATAAAATTAAATATTAAAAATTAAAAAAATTAATTATATAATTACTTTTATTCTCCAAACCTATTTTATTAACTAATTTAATAGTTAAATGTATTTTGTTATATATTATTGCTTTGAATATATTTATTATTAAGAAAGCTCAATTAATTATCTAATAATTCATTATTATTGAAGTTTTAAATTTATTATATATTTTAATTGTTATATAAATCACTGTTAAATTTTTGTTTTTAATTGAAAAGTATTATAAAATTAATAATTGTAAATCATTTTTTTTTTATTTTTTTACTTTTTTAAATTTTAAAAGTTATAAAATATTGGCAGATTATATGGAACTTAAAAATAAGGTGCTAATAATGGATATAATTAAAGATCCTAAAATTTTAAAAAAATTAAAATTATTAAATATATATACATTAATAGAATATTAATTGGTATTATTTTATTATTGCATTTATATAATAAAATAACTTTAAAAAATTAATTATAAAAATATGCTTAAAAAAATATTTAAAATTATTAAAAAATCAATATTGTATAATTAAAATAAATTTATTAAGCATTATTTCTTAATAAATATATTAATAATATATAATTTAATAATTATTTAAATTTTATATTACTTTTATATTCATTTTTGTGATTTAAATTTTTTTCTTTAATATTTTAAGATAAGTATTTTTTATTTATAATAATATATATTTTATAAATTATTAAATATAAATAATATATAAAATAAAAAAACATATAAATTAATTTTTAAAATATATTTTTCTTATCAAATTAATAAAATATGAATAAAAATTAAATAGTTATTAAAAAATTATAATATATTTATTTTTTTAATTTTATATTAATAATAATAGTAATATTTATAAAGCATAATAATATTTTACTGGAAATTTTTACTTTTGTTTTTGAATAATAATTTATTTTTATTTTTTCACATTAATAAATTTCATTATAAATAATATAATAAATGTAAATTATTCTGATAAATTATTAAAAATAATATTTTTAATTTTCTAAAAATTAATAAAAAAAATATAAAATTCATATATATAAAAATAACACTTTATATAATCATTAATTTTGCATTTGTATTTGTTTTTTTTTGGTTTTTATAAAATCGTAAATTTATGATAGATATTAACTTTTAATTAATTAATAACAATAATTTATATTTTAAATAAAAAAATAAATTAAAGCTATATTATTTATATCCCTAATTTTTATAATTAAATATATTGATATATTTTATACTAATAATAAGAAATTATTATTATTTTTTATAATAATCATATTTTATTAAGAATCTAAATATTCAAATACATGTATAATGAAATTTTTTATTAAAATTGAATAGATTTTTAAAATAAATTATTATTATATTATAATAATAAATAAATTAAATTATTTAATTAAAATAGAGTTTATAAAAAACAACAATAAATTATTCAAATCATTTAATTATTAAATAAATTTTTTAATTATAATAAATTATTTTAAATTTATTTATAAGATTTAAATTTAATTAAAATATAATTATTAAATACATAATATAACTATTATTACATTTAGATACATATACTATGATTTCTATTTTAAATTTTTAAATTATAATCACTTAATATATTTTATTTAATTAGATTTACTTATATAATATTTTAAAATATTATAAAAATTAAAATTCATTAATATTTTTTTAATATTTATTGTATTATTATATATATTGACTTAAATAAATATCATATTAATTATATTTTTAATAATTAATTTTGTTAATTTTTTCAAAAAATTCTTTATAATTTACAATAAATTATAATAAAAATATTTTATTAAACATCTTAATATATATTTTAATCCAAATGATTTATTTATTTTAGATTTACTATTTATATATTAAATTATATTTTATTTTAGTTTATTATTGGTATAATATTCTAAATTTTTACATTAATTTAAAATTTTTTAATAGTTTAAATATAAATAATACTAAAAATATTTATAATTATAATTATATATTTTTAAAAATTAAAAAAAATTTTTTGTTTTTTTTAATTAAACCTTATTATTGAAATCTATTTTCTACTTATATACTTCATTTAGTATGTAATAATAAATTTCTTAATATTTAAATCAATTAATAACTTGATGATTTTATTTTATATTTTATTAATTATATAATTATTCAATAAAATAATCAATAATAAATTATATATCTAATATAAATTTTATTTAAAAAAAATATTATTAAAAGTACATATTATATTTTATATATTATAAAAATTTTTATTAATTATATAATTTATTTTTAAAAAATATAATTATAATAAAAAATAAATGGATAAAAAATGAAACTATTTGTTTATTAATTTTTATTTTAGATTAATAATTAGAATCTATGAATATAAAAATATTTTTGAAATTTTGAAATTATTTGAAATAAATTAATCATCTTTAAATTTATTCATAATTTTAAAAAGTAAATATTTAAATTTTTAATTTAGATAAAATTATATAAAAATATATATATATATATTATAATTCACAAATTATTGATCAATAAATTCTCTAAATAACAAATAAAAAAAGCAATAAATAAAAATTATTAATAATAAAATATAATTATTTTATTTTAACTGTAATCAATATTTTTTATTTATACTATATAATAAAAATAATTTATTAAATTAAAAAAAATATAAATATATAATAATATAATTATTAAACAGAATAAAAAAATAATAATTATTTTATAAAAATTTTAAATGAAAATTCAAACTTTTCTTAATTCCATTTATATATATATATTTAATAATTGCCAAAATTAAATTTTAGTAGTTTACAAATATTTATAATTATAGTAATTATTTCGTTAAAATATCAATAATCATTCTATAAAATACAAACTAATAACTTAATTTGTTTTTCATTATCAAACCAATTGGTTTAATGTTTTCTTTTCTTTTTAAAAGCATATATAATATACTAAAATTATGTATTTATGTTTTTTATCAAAGCCTTTATTCCTTATAATTTGTACTTTTTATTTTATAATATAATTAATAATCTAATATAAATAAATAAAAAAGCAAAAAATATATAAAATGATTACTAAAAAAGTCTTAGGATATTGGCAAAATAAAACCGATTATTTTAAAAAAGTTAAAAGAGATTTAAGACAAAAAAAGGACAGGTTTAAAAATAAATAAACTTAACCTAATTTAATATAATAAATAAATTTATTTATAATTAATAATTTATTGTATTAAAAGATTTAGAAAAAAAGTTATTTATGATAATGATTCAACTGACAATTCTAGTGGAAGTAAAAATTTCATATTTTTTATTTTTAAACAATACAATTTGATTTCTCATAATTTTAATTTTTTTTTCTTTTAAATTTTTTAAATTAAAGCTGGAAAAAAAACATCTGAATCATAATCAATAGAAATTAATTAACCAATCAGTCTTTATGATTTGCCTCCGATTTGGGTAGAAGTACATCATAATACAAATAAGCTAATATAAGAAATAATTGAAATAAGTAATTCATAATTAATCAAATTTTTGTTTTAAATAGCATTATATTTGATATAAAAAAATATATTATTCAAATAGAAAGATAAATTACTGAATTAAGCAATAAAAGAATTAGAAAATAATTTAATGATAATAATAATTTAGATTAATAAATAAATGATTTAGCAACAAAAGCTGCAAAAGTTTTTTTTTTTATATAAAATTTAATTATTGTTGTTTTCATTTTTTTTTTTTTTGATATATAAATCATAATAATTAGAAATTAAGAGAATGTGAATAAAATTTAAAATAAATTGATTTATTGGCAGCTTCTTAAAAAGAAGAAGAAAATGAATAAAAAAGTATATAAGTATTTATTTAGCAAAAATATAAATAAATAAAATCAAAATTAAAAATTATTTACAATTTTTTTAATTAATATATAAGTAAGGGAAAATGTTAAGCGTTCTTTAGCATATTAAATATAAGAATTAACTGTTGATTTAAGAAGATAATAAAAAGCATTATATGATACATTGAAAAAATATGATAATGTGGGTTAAGTAGGATAAAAATATCAATAAAATTAAGCTTCTCTATAATTAGAAAATAGTATGTAATAAGATCTTCTTGATATGTATGAAAATATTGCTAAAGAAAGGTATCTTATTTTAAATATTATTTAATAATATTAATTTAAAAAAAAAAAAATAAGAGATGAGGAAATTAACAAACTAATTGATACAATTAATGAGCTTTCGAGTATATTTTAATAGTTAGGAAATTTAATTATTGATTAAGGAACTGTTCTAGATAGAATAGATTTTAATGTATAGGATACTAAAAAAAATACATAATAAGCTACAAAACATTTAAGAAAAGTAAACTTTTTTTGAACAAAAAATTGTTTTTATTTTTATTAAATTATATATATAAATAGGTTGTGGAATATTAAGAAAGTCCTTTAGCGAAAAAATGCATATAATTGTTAATTATTTCCATTATTATATTTACTTTTATTTTAGCTTTAAGGTATAAAAGTTGAAATGTAAATAAATAATTTACAAATAAAAATTTATAATTATATAAAGTTTGAACAAAAAAAATAAAGTCATTTAAAAAAAAAAAACATATTTTTTTAATTTTTTATTAAAATAATACTTAAAATAAAATGAATTTACGTTATTATATTTATTTTTATTTTCAAATTATTATTTTAATCTTACGATATAATATATATATTTTTTTTTCATTTGCTATGCTTAGTTTATTCTTTTTTTTTTTACAAAATGTTTTTTCTTTCTATTTTCTTAATAAACTTTTTTATATTTTACTTTCTTTTTTTAATAAAGTTTAAAAATCCTAAAATAAGCTCAATCTAGTTAAAAAATTTCGGAATTAATTTTTAATAGTAATTATTTATTTTAGGCTTATTAATAATATGTTATACTTTTTTATAAATATTATATTAAATTTTAAATTAATTGACTTTTTTACGAATCTTACAATAATATTTTAAAATAAATTAATAATAATAAAAATATAATATCTTATAATTTTTTAAATATTTTTTTTTTCTTTTTTTTCTTATAATTATGTCCATAAGTATTTTTATTTTACTAATTTTTTATAATTAGTTTAATATTAAGGTATTTATTTACATAAATGTTAATAAAATAATATAAAAAAATCTTAAAAAATAAAATATATCTTTAATACATAAAAAAATGTCAAATTTAATGTAATTTATACCAAATCTCACTTAAGAGATTATATTATAAATAATATATGACAATTATCCAATTTTTAAATCAATGAAAAAATCCGAAATAACTCTCCAATAAATAGCTGCCTAAGAAATTTAACAATACAAAATTTGCATAAAATATATTCCTGAATATATTGCCAAAATAATTCCAAAATCAGAAGAAAGTGTTTTTTTCGAAGATTCATTATCTGAATTATTCAAACAATTAGAATAAAGTGAATTATCTCATTTTTATTAAAAAAACATTATGAATATTTACAATCAGTCTTTGACATAATTTACATTTGAAAATAAAGACTATTAATTAAGAATTCTTTCATATTTACATGGGACTTTTATTGGAGATTTATTTAATAATATAGGCACAACAATAGGTTAGAAAACTAAAATTTTATAAAATTTCTAATTATAAGTAAATGAATATAATAGTAATAATAATATTTTAGATTTAAGACATTTCCCTTCTTAAAAGTCGAAATTAAATTTAATAAAAGATCCATAATAAAGGCGTATAGTGAAATATTTTTTAATGAAATTTCACTAAAAAGTCCTTCCAAATTTAGAAAATCTCCGTAAATCTATTATACAATTAGATTTTGATTAAAACAGTATTTTTATAGATCCAAAATCAGGAAATATATAGTAATTGTATGATTAATTAAATCCTCAAAGTCTTATATATACTCATACTATATTTTATTTGGTTACATATATTTCATTTTGTATTCTAATAAATACATAATAATCTTTAGAAAAAACTTGCTTTGAAATAATAAAAAATTATAATTAATAATTTACCCTTTAAAAAATCGAAATTGATATTCTTTTTTGGCTTATAGGTGCCACTTTGAGTACTTTATAAATATCTAAAAACGATTTATAATAAAATTAACCTTTTCTTGAAAATTTAGATAATGTATTCATTTAATTATATAAAATTAATCCTTACTATTTTTTGAATAATATATACATATTATGTAACCAAGAACTTTTATATGATTTTAATTAAAGTGAATAGCAAGACCCTTTACTTTAAGATAATATTGAAGGAATATACTAATACATATTTGATTCTTTTGGTAAAACATACATTGATTGCTCTATTAATAGTTAAATTATTGGAAATAGTCATCCCGATATAAGTTTCATTGCTGGAGATTAATATTAAAATTTAAATATTAATTTAAAATAAGAAAACACTCATGTATTATAATATAAATAAGAAATTGCTAATTTATTTCCAGAACATTTAAGAAGCGTTTTTTTGGTAAATTCAAATGATGAAGCTTATTAAATTGCTTTATTTTTGGCTTAAACATATACAAAAAGTAAGGAAATATTGATTTTAGACGAGAATTTTTAAAAAAGTTTTTGTTTTAGAAATTTAGACTAAAAATTTATAAATTTGATTTCTTTTTAAAATTCTGAAGAAATAATATTAGAATAAATTTTTAAGAAAAAATAATAAATTTTTATTCATGAAAATTTAATGAATAATTAAGATATTTTCGTTTAAAAAAAACAATAAACAATATTTATTCGAAAATTAGAGAAGAAAATGGAATTTGCATTTCAGATGAAAGTTAATTTTAAATGGGAAGAGCAGGAGAGTTTTTATGGAGTTTTTAAATAAATGAAATAGTTCCTGATATTGTCATAGTAGGAAATTATTTAGGTAATTCTTTAAGTGCTGTAATAACAAAGAAGGAAATTATAGAAAAAATTAATCAAGAAAAAATTAATACTTAAATAAATTAAGTTTAGTGTAAAATTGGTTTGTAAGTTTTGTAAATTATAAAAAATGAAAATTTACTTGAAAACGCAAAAAATATTGGACTTTATTTTTAAGAAAAATTTAGAAATATTAAATCTTGTTTTATTAAAAATTTTATAGGTTTAGGATTATATTTAGCTATTGAAATTTAAAATGATAAATAAAAATTAGGATAATATGAATGTTAGTATTTGGCTTAAAAATTAAAAAATAAAGGAATCTTGGTTGACAAAGGTGGATATTATTTTAATATTTTATTATTTAGGCCTAGTTTATGTATTAATAAAGATGATATTGATGTTATTGCATAATGTTTTGAAAGATCCCTTATCGAATTGGAAAAAGATTTAGAAAAGCATAAAATTAATTAATATATTGAAGAACTAAAAAAAACTAAGTTTAAATAATGTAGAATAAAATTAGAGGAATATTTTAAACAATAAAATGAATAATAATAATGATTTCTAGAAATAAAACACTAAATAATAATATAAAAATTAAATTAAAAACAATTTTTTTGAAATATTAATTAATAATAATAGTATTATTAAATATTATATTTTTATAAAAAATGTCAATTTATTTATATGTTTTTTTATAACAAAATATGTAATAAAATTATAAATTAATATTTTATATCATAAAATAAAAAAACAATTATAAATATTTATTTTTTATTTAATATATTTAATTATATACATTTTTAATATATATATATATACAAATATATATATATATATATTAATTTATATTATATATTTTATATATTAGAATATTATAATTATTATTTTAATTTAGTTGTCATATTCAACTATCTAATAAATATAATACAGAAAGCAAAATATAAGAAAAAAATTAAGAGCAAATAAAATTAATTTTTTTAGTCTTTTTTGTATTTATAAATATATATTTTATCGATTGTAATTCTATTTTTTTCTGATTATAATAATTAATATTTTATGTTTATATATCTGATATTTTAGAATAATTTATAATTTTTATTTTAGTGTCTTTAAGTCGTTTTATTTTATTTATTTTTTTATATAATTTTAATTTTAAACCGATTGTAAAATATGTATTTTATTTATTTTAGATTATTAATATTTTTATTATGATAATGTTTTTTAATTTAAGTATATTAATGTTAAATTTATTAATATTATAATATAATTTTTAAAAATATATAAAAATAAAAACTTAAAAATAAATAATTAATATATATTTTAACAATGATAAAAATAATATATATATATTAGTACATATATAATTAAGTAATTAATATTTTAAAAAATATAATTATGTCATTTAACTAATTAAATAGGTTTTTTAATATAAATAAAATTTAAGAAATATATTTCTTATTTGAGTTTGTATTGTCGAAAAAAAAAAAAATACTTTATGTGTACAATTTTTATTAATATGAAAAAAATATATATTTTTTTTTAAAAAAAACGTATTTTAAAATATTAAAATAATAAAAAAAGAATAAATTAAAATAAAATTTTATTTAATTAAAAAAAAACAATACAACAACTAATAAAACAAAAAAATTATACAAAAAACAAAAATAAAAAATATCTAAAAAATTATTCATAAAATGTTTGAATTTTTCGAAGTATTTGTCAAATTTTTATGAGATTATCTATATCTATCTCCCATTTTATCAAAATATGGCACAGTAATTTTTTTTAGAATTTAGCTTTTATTTTCATCAAATTAATATTTAAAATAATCAACAGTTTATTCATTTAGGGTATAAACATTTTTATCATACCATTTTCTAGGTGATACTTTTGAATAATCGAGAATCCCTTATCCTTATTTTTTAAGAATACTTTCCATATTAACATTATAGTCCAAACCTCCAGTTTTGGAGCCTATAACGGATTATTATTTAATTTATTTACTAAATGAAATATTAGGCAAGTGTTTGAACTTCGAATATATTTCTGGATAATCTATATATTCAAATCTCAGTTCATGCGGATTAACTTCCGTTTTCATTGGTTTTCTATCGGTAATTTTGGAAAAATCTAAAGGCTAAACTGGTTTTTTATAAGGTTTATCAAAATCTATTCCCAAAACGGATGTTTCGGTAATTGATTAAGTGATTTTTTTTCTTTCATCAAGTCTTTAAGATTTTTGTTTTTCTTATTATTTTTACTCATTTTGGAATGCATGGAGGAATGTTCTATATTTATTTTCTCGGTTTTTCCTTTGGCGATCTTCTATTTCTTGATTTGGGTAAAAAGGGCTTTTTTGGAATATTAAGTGGAATTTGGGATTATACATAAGAAATTTTTAATTATTTAAAGTCATTTTGGATTTTAAAGTGTAAAAATTGTCTCTTGATACGGTGGATTTAAAAGGTTCTTGTTTATGTGCTTGTGGTAACTTTTGGTTATGGGGTTAAAAAGTGCGGTGTTTCTGGTTTAGACCTAATTGCTTTTGTTAGTTAATGAGAGATTTTTTTAATAAGGTTTATTCTTGGAGCTCTTTTAGACGCTGAATCTTTGTTTTGTTGCTCATTATGTATTCTTTTTCTTATAACATGGCGAACATTTCTTAGGATAAACGGCCTGCTTTAGAAAACATTCCTGATGGGTCAAGTCTATCTTATACTATCATGTTTTGTTTTTTTTATTTAAAAAAAAAAAAATTACTAATTTTTATAAATTTTTTTTTTTCTATTTATTATAAATATTTATATTTTGTTTAATTGAAAAAGTTATAGTTTTAGTTTTTAATTTTTATTTAAGTAAATATTTTAAAAATTAAACATTATTTTATTTGTATTATAAATATTAAAATTATAACAATACATATTTTAAGTAAATATTAATTGTTTTTATTAATATATGTAAAATAATATATTATAAAAAATTATTTTAAAATAAATATAAATTTATCATATCTAATTTATCAAAATAAAAATGCAAAATTTAAAAATAAAAAAAGAAAAAAATAACATGTAAAACTTTATAGATATAAAAAAAAAGTATTCAAAGTAATAAAAAAAAAAATAAAGTTAAATTTAAACTTTATTAATTTTTTATTTAAAAAAAAATATTTTATTAATACAAAGTTTTAAATATAGAAATTTATTAAAAAAAACAAAAGTTTTATAATATTTAATGTAAAATAAATATAAATTTATTTATGAAAAATTATCTTGCTAAGAATATATTATATATAATATAAATATAATTTATAAGTTTAAAAATATATAATCTAAAAACATATATATTAAAAATATATTATATAGAAATATATATATTAAAAATATTATTTATTATAAAAAGAAAAATATTTCTTATTTTATTTTCTTAATTAATATTATAAAACTAATAAAAATAATTTTTATAATTATAATTTTTTTTTTTATTATAATAGTATTTTATGTAAGAAATTACTCTGATTCTCATATTATATCTTATTTTTCGAATATTAAACTAATACTTTATTTTATATTTAAAAAATAACATAAAAATAGTAAAATTTAAATAATTTTTACATATTTTATTATTTATTGATACAATTTTCATTTATTTTGTAGGTATATAATAAGACATAAATATATATATATATATATATATATATATATATATATATATATATATATTTTTAAAAACATAAACACATAGTGATTGTTATTATATTTTACTAAAAATTAAATCTTAAAGGATATAAATAATATCTTAAGGCTAAAATAATATAATATAAATAAATATTTTTATAAAAGTATAAAATAAAATAAAAAAATCTTAATTTATTTAAATTATAAATTGAAAATTAATTATTTTATGTATATATATAATTAATTTAATTAAAATGTTCATCAAAAATTAATTAAATATTAATATTTTTAACAAAACAATAGTAATAAAAGAAAAATAGCTATTTAAAAAGTATTTATTATATTTAATAAAAAACAATATAATTAGAATAGAATAGATAAATATACAGGATTTGTTAAATAAATTAAAAATAAATTATTTAAAAAATAAAAGATAATTTACAAAAATAATAATATATTAAAAACCTATATATTATGCCATAATAATAAGATTTTAAAACCAATTACCATGTAATAAAAAAGTTAGGAAATGGATCATTTGGTGAAATTTTTTTATGCCAAGACCAATAAGGCTTCCAACTTATTTTAAAAGCTTAAAAAATCGATTTTTTAAATGACGAACATTAACAATGTTTTATCCGAGAAGTTTAGGCATTAGAAAAGCTTTAATAAATTAAATAAAAAGGTTAAAATTTTTCTGATGCATAAAATTCACATATAATAAAATACTATCATTCTAAATAAGGATATTCGTTTGAATATTAATAAAATACATATAAATGTAATGCAATATTTATGGAATATGCGCCAAACAATACACTTGGTTAACTAATGAAAAAAAATTAATTTAATTTACCTATAATAAGAAATTTTACTAAATAAATACTATTTGGATTATAAGAAATTCATTAGGCGGGGTTAGTACATAGAGATATTAATGAAAATAATATTGTTTTAAACGAAGATTTTTAGATTAAATTAATTGACTTTTAATTTGCAGGAGTACCTTAAAATAGATTCTGTGGAACTTTTAAATACATTTGTACAGAATAAATACTTTTCGAAAGTGGAAAAAAAGATTCAATGACGGATCTTTCGTTTGAAAATTTTTGTAAATATGATACATTTGCTTTAGGGGTGATTTTATGTAGGATGATTTTAAAAAATTATCCATTTTATAGTGCTTCAGCCTATGATGCTAAATATAAATTTATCTATAATAAAGATTTTGATAGTTTTTGGGCGAAATAAAATTTTGTTTGTGGAGGTGAAGATTATTAATAGTTAAAAGATCTTATTTAAGGGCTAATTGCTTTTGATGTTAAAGAAAGGTTTGGTGTTTAGGAAGCTCTTGATCATCCATTTATTGGATAAGGATAAGAATTTGCTAATAAATAATATATTTAAAAATTTTTTAAGAGTGAATAATGAAGTTATTTTAATTTTAATTGTTTATTTTATTTTAGGAATTTTTTTTTCTAAAATATAAAATGTCTATAATTATGTCAAATATTATTTTTATTATAATTTGAAAGTTTGTTTTTACGGATATTATAATTTATGTTTTATTAAAATTTTTAAAATATATATAAATAAATAATTGATATAATTATTTATAATATAAAAATATAAATTATAATAATTAATTATTTTGTATTATTTATTACAAGCTAAAAAATAATTATAAACAAATAAATACATAAATTTTATAATATATTAAAAAATAGTATAATTCTACTATCTTTTTGATAAAAATATTTTATTTATCTCTTATTAAAAATTTTATTTTATATTTAACAAACAAAAGTTGCTATCATAAATAAAATAAATTAATTAAAAAATGTAAAAACTAATAAATAAATTATAATATTAACAAAAAAAAATATAAAAAAACTAAATTAATAATAATATTAAATTATAAAAATAAAAAAATAAATTATTTTAATTATTTTTATAAAAATAAATTAATAAACTATTGTAATCATATTTTTATTTTTTATAAAAAATGATATTATGAAGAGCTAAATATAATAAATTATTATATATATTATTTTTATTTTTTATAAATTAATATTTATATATTTTATTTATTTATATATATAGA